GAGTATAAATTTTTCTGAATGAATTTTAGAAGTATAGAAGTCATCATCCTTATGTGTTCATATATATAGTTTTACGTGAACAAAATATTCCTGTTCTATTTCTTACAATTCCTAAAAACTATTCCTTTAATGAAGTTGATGTTTTTGTTATATTTGTCTGCCAAAAACGTATTATCAACATTCTTTTGTTGCTTTTAAATTAGGAACAATACCTAAGAGACCACTGACACTCTATAGTTTCTTTTCTTCAAAATGTACATAAATTGTTTTAGCATATCTATTACTGTAAATATTGTTCTCGTTTCCAATTTTTAGTATTCCTAATTGACCGGCATATGAACATTCTCGTTACTATGCACGAAACAAAGAACTTGTTAGTGAAATCAGAAATGTAACAAATTGGAACTATGTTTTTGTTTTGGGCTTAAAAAAAATAATTGGAACTAGTAATAAGCCCAAAAGAATTATAAACACTGAGGCTGCTGAGTCAGCATCCAGGTAAGCAATACAAAAAAAAAATTCATATTCGAAATCTGTGAATCCAGTCATCCACACAAAGCATAATGGTTGAATCGGAGAGAACGAAGCACACATGTCTCCGACTTGAAATCTCCGGCGCCGATCCGATTTTCGTCAAAGGCACTTGGCACCATTCTCGTTTCGATGTCTCCGTCACTGATGGATCCTCCTCTTGGATTTGCAGTGGTAACAAAAAAACCCCTAAAACTATACTGTCATTGAGCCTTCTCCTAGGTCTTTGGATTTTTGATTTTGTTTTTTGGTTTGGTAATCGGAATTGAAGCGACGGAGGAAGAGGTGGCGGATCGAGCGGCGCAATGGGACCAGCCTGTATCGGAATATCTCCAGCTCGCCGAACGGTACTTAGGGTTTCAGCAGCCTGATTCCGTTTACGGTTTCTCCGATGCTCTTGAGGGATGTAAACGGGTTAGTTCGATTTTCCTTGTTCGATTTTTGATGAATATGAAAATGTTCTTTCAAGCCTAGAATGAAGCATTCGTTCTCTGGAGTTGTATTGGATCTCTTGTTTTGTTGAGCAAATGGTTTCTTGATTCTTGATGATGACTGTGATTGTGTTTGGTTTACAAGCTCTCTTGGACTTTTGAGAAGGAAGGGACTAAACTCGAGTGGCGGTGGAAATGTAAACCATCACATGACAGTAAGAAGATCACAGTGGGGATCTTGGATTTTCTTATGCAGGCAAATATCAGGCTAAGTGTAAGACTTTACTCTATACATTCTCTGACTTTTCATGTTTGAGAATGAAAAAAGGTTAAGGATTTATACCAATTCTGTTTTAGGAATGGATATTGGAAGACATGGCAATCTCTCTGAATAGTTAGTGTTTACGCAAATTTCGTGATAATATATACTCCACAGGAAGAAGTTGTGAACAAGACGAGATCGTTTGAGAAGATGAAAACTGAAGCTGAGAAATGCCTAACGCAAGGTGAAAAACTCTGCAACGAAAAAATGGAGTTTGAGAATGAAACTTATGCAAAGGTATGTATCATTGGAATCATTGGCTTTTCTAATTTCTTATCTGTGGCATAGTAGTCTTTGTGAAAAGATATTGTCATGTTTAGCATTGATTTTAGTCTCTCTTTTTTTTGTCAATGCAGTTCCTTTCTGTGTTAAACGCTAAGAAGGCGAAACTCAGAGCACTAAGGGACAAAGACGATTCAGGGAGAGCAGTTGAAGAGGAAGAGTCGACAGACAAAGCGGAAAGCTTTGAGAGTGGAAGAAGCGATAATGAGCAGAGCGAGGAAGAAGCCTCAAAGAAGGCAACGAGCAGTAAAGCCCGTGGTCGGAAGAGAGCTGCACGCAGCTAAGAAGATTCCCCTGCCTTGTGATTTCAGGTCAGAGAGTACATTTTAAGTTTTGGTCAAGCTCATAGCTAGGAAAAGGAGACATCTTTTGGTTGAAAATGGCTAGAATTTGTATTGCTTGTGAAAGTAAAATGCAATACACATGGAAATGAGATGATTTTGCTATAAAGATTCAAGCCCCAACTTTTTCTCAAAAGTCATACAGAAATCCAATGTGAAATTTCAAGGCTCTTTTGATCACCAACACCTATTTGGACGTCCCTTGAGATTTTTAATACTTTTTTCATTGGTTCTAACATGATTCAAGCTTGAATTCTATGCCAAAGAAACATACGGATCTTTTGAATCTTCACCAGTCAATGGTGGTCCCCAATTTTTCCTAATTTTAGTTTCGTGGTTTGGATGGGTCTATGGAAGTTGAAGAAATTGGAAAGTCAAACCTCGTTAAAGTAAAAACCGGTCAAAGTTAACTATATTTGAGATTTTAACCCGTTAATGAGAATTCTCAAGTAAATGAAATCTTTTACTCTCATTTGAGATTTGGGCACTTAATGAGAATTCTCAAGTAAATGAAGTTCAAACATTTTGGCGTCTTGGTTTTGTTAAACAACCATTTCAGTGGTTCCATTCCTCAATGTTTGAAGAGTTCCACTTATAGATTTGAGTATGCAGAACAACAAATTTAGTGGAATTCTACCAGATTTCGATGGCACTCAGTTACGTTCACTCGATGTCAGCCTCAACAACATGATCAAAGGCACATTTCCATTTTTGTTGGGCTCTCTAGAAACATTACTGGTTCTTGTGCTCCAGTCAAATGCTCCGGTCAAAGGCACATTTCCTCAACAATATGCATATCTAAATTTCAATAATTTGATTTTTATTTACTAGTCAATAAAAAATTAAATTTGTACTTACAATTTCGAAGATTGAATAAATAAATTTTAATGAAAAAAAAAAAGAGTAGGAAAAGCTGGAATCAATAAAAAGAATGAATTTATCAACAATATTTGTTACTAGCGTATGTAACTACGAACATGGTTCGTGACTAAATCCATGTCATGGTCGTACCACCGTGGTGGCGGCCAGCGAAGTGGCGTTCGGGCAAGGTGGGCCGTGGCCACCGGGAATGTGTGTGCAGCTAGAAGGATCGGAAGGAGTGACTTCACCTCTTTGTAGATTCTGTAAGGTGCCAAGACGCTCTTTTGGTAAAAACCTAAACGCTTCATTTGTTGGAACGTGTAACACCATTAGTAGAAGAAAATGTAGTGAAAGTATCAATGCAAGAGATGTTTTCATGTTACTATGTCACCGAAGAATAAAGATAAAATTTGTATAAACGAGATCTTTTTGTGTCTTTCCTTCTTTTTTTTTTCTGAAAAAAAATATATATTTTTCACCCAAAGAAGATAGAACTTGAAATAGTTTATGAGAATATTTGTCATGGTGATATTTGTTATATTTATAGAGGAAAAAAGGTTATAGGAAACTGGTGGCGATTATTGATTTTTCTTGACTATTGTCTAGCGGAGATCATTTTGACTGTTGACATATATATGGTGTGGTGTTATTGGATACATTCATTTCGTACGTAGACTCGATTCTTAAATATGTTTTTCGAAAAAAATTAGTAGAAATAACAAACAAAAAAGAGAGGATTTGGTCATATATTAAAAAAAAAAAGACACAGGAGGATTTGGGCCTGGTCAATTTGTTAGACTGTAAGCACTGGAGCGGAACATCAGTCAATTTTGTTTACAATAAATCTCTATTAAATATGATACATAGTTATATAGAATATATCAGATGGAGTTTTTAAATAATTTAATTGTTTTGGTCAATTTCTACGAACGAAAAGCTGAGTTCAGTTCTTATTGTTACGTGAAAGTGGCTTGTGGGAAGTTCCTGGGAAGTGCATTTTTATTGCTTTCAACTTCGTTGATTTATTTTTCTTACCTAAGGCCTCAACCTAAACATGTTTAGAGAAGAAGTGTCAAAAAAAACATGTGCCAAAGATACGTCTGGTAAACAAAGTACATTCTCCATTTCAAACAGGGGTTAAAAAAATGTAGAGAAAACCATTGTTTAATTTTAGTTTGGTTTTTTTTTGCCTTTTGAATTTCTTCTTCTGAGCAGGAGGCAGCTTTGACTTTTATCTTTTTGAGCAGTTGACTTGGAAGAATCATGTAATTTCAGGTACCTCCTGAACATCAAGCCGAGAGGCAGATGTGAATACGATTTAATGGAATCTATCATGCTCATATAGTAGGTATTGGCACCGAATAGCAATCCGTTTTATGTGCGATTGCAATCTGAAAATGGCAGCGATGCGATTACTCATATTCTTGAATGACAATACGATTCAATACAAAAATTACGAAAAAATGACACTAATTGTAATATTGTTTTGTTTGTGTATTATGTAAGTTTATATTTTTAAAATATCAAATAATTTATATATTAGATATAATTTTAGTCGCCAATAATATAAAATGTATAAGCGTTGTAATTAATATTTTTTTCGAAGCACATTCTAATTAATTACAACACAACTTAAACAACCTAAAAATAAATAAAATTTCACAACAAATTACAAAATAAGTTTAGTTAGAATACTCTTATCTAACAATTATAATGAAATCCACTGTTATTGATTTACAACAATTTTAATGAAATCCATTATCATACAAAAAAAATTTGATTTTTAATGATCATGTAATTCTAGCCAAATCCACTATTATTGGGAATATGATTCTTAAAAATTTTACTCATTAAACATAATTTTCCTAATCTTAAGTGAAAATTATTACAATACAGTTTATTAAATACACACAAAAAATTTCAAACTTAACAATTTTTTCTAAAAACTTAACAAAACTCTGAACTTTTAAAATCAACAAACTCTATCTAAATTCTACCATCAATAACCTCCTAAAATTAACAACACAAATTATTAGAATCGAAACTGTATATGCTTCAGTTGTGGTATACATACATATAAATAAAAACGAAAACATCTACTTAAAAATCATATTGTGTTGGCCAAGCACCATTATAATATAAATAAAGAAAATTTTTGCACCAAACAACC